AGCTGCACCTGCCCTGTGAGCTGCACCTGCCCTGTGAGCTGCACCTGTGCTGAGGTTGAGCTGTGACACTGCATGGTAAACTAGGCTGCCATCACAGACACCACAGAGATGAAGGGCAGTAGGTGACAGGGTCATGACAACTCTAAGCGAACGATGCTGCCACACCCCGACCCCAGGATTGCTCTCCAAACTCAGGACTCCCAGTCACACTCATAAACTAGCCAGAGCCACTGGGCATGGGATGGAACTGGAGAGAGACACTGTCTACCCCGAGACACACAAAACTTTAGGTATCACGGCATGCAGGGCTTCCTGGCCCACTCGTGTTCACAGTCACCTAACTTAGGAGCTAAGCAGGTGTTTAGGGAACTCAGCAACAGTGAGGGAATTCTGGGTAACCCAACAGGAAAAAAAATCACCCTAGTCCTCCATCCACACCACCCACCCACAGAAAGCCAGGCGGGGTTACAGACACAAATTTAAAAGCAAAACCAATCAACTTCTTCTTAAATTAGAGACCAAACTGTAGGCAATAATTTCTGGGGCTACAGAAGGCACCACCCACAGAAGATAACCCTGAACAGATACCATCAAAACAGAACACAGCTCATCAAGGAAAATAGGCATGCTACAAACAGTGTCTCCGCATATACATACATACTTACTTGCACATACATGAACATGTACGTGCACACATACGCCTGACACATGCAAACATAGATAAGGAGAAACAATACAAAGAAAGCTGCCACGTTCAGAGCAGGACATATCTGAGGTGTACTGGAGAAGGGCTAAGTGTGGCTCAGGGCCAGAGCACATGCTTGGCATGATGAGGCCCTGGCAGAGTTCTCCCTTGCACCACAGGTGCCTTTCAGAGAGCACTGAGGTCTGAGGAGCGGCTGCGGTTGGGGGGAGGAACGCTTCATCGCAATGCTCCAAGGCCAGCTCTGCCTTCAGACTTACCCACAGGTAATCCCCATCCACCTTGATGGCAAACTTGAGTTTCCTCAGACGGATGAGCGTGGGTGGGGTGCCAGAAAGGTCCCACAGGCACCGCACGACTCCGGCAAGCTGGCCACAGAGCAGTTCCTGCTGGTCTAACAGGGTCTGTGGGAGAAGCAGACAACGTTTTACCAGACTGTTCTACATCTGCACTCGTGTGTGTGTGTGTGCACTCACATCATATGAGCTCCGTGTGCATTCATTTGTGAGCTGGCACACGTACCTGTGCGGTGATCAGAGGACCATTTTTGAAAACTAATTTACCCTTCCATTGTGGGCTCCAGAAGTTTAATTCAGGCTTCTGCTTTGCCATCTGGCCAGGTGTGTGTGTGTGTGTGTGTGTGTGTGTGTGTGTGTGTGTGTGTGTG